TTTCCTTTCAAAAATACAGGCTTAGAAAAAACTACTAGCTAATCTAAGCAAATAATCATGATTTTATAAATACTTGAAATATTAATACTTCTTTCATTGCACAAGAGGCCTTTAAATCTCTGTACATAAGTGTAATCTGAAGTGACACTGTAACTGGAGTCTTCAGAATCAGTGCGTCATTAGGAAGATACGAATACACAATGGATGGTAGAATCAAATTCATTTTTCAAGGACTAAACTACAATCAAGAAGAACTAACAAATCGCTGGTAAAAAGTTCTGATAAATAAAAGACTAATGATATCTAGGTCATTCTGTTGTAAAAGCCAAATATATCTCACAAATAGGATTCATCAGACTAAGAACATACATAGTACTAGCATCCAAGTTTCTAAAAGTTAGCCAGAAAATCATAGTCTCTGTGACATTTTCAACTTCACTGTTCCATCCCTTACCTTCTTTTGCACAATCACTTCAAAATATCAAATTTCAAACTGACCTTGTCTGTTAGCAAGAAATATGCTCTAACACCTCCAATATGCAGGTTGATCCTGAATTTTGAGGTCTGGCTATAATATTACCTTATTTTCAGTCCTTGATTAACTCAGAAAAATAAAAAGCAACAGTTGTCCTATCCCTACATGCCCTTGTCAAAAGTCCCTCTCTGGCTTCCTTGTAGGCTCCCTTCAGATATTGAAAGGCCGCAATAATGTCACCCCGGAGCCTTCTCTTCTCCAGGCTGAACAGCCCCTACTCTCTCAGCCTGTCCTCACAGCAGAGGTGCTCCAGCCCTCGGATCATTTTTTGGCCTCCTCTGGACCCACTGTAACAAGTCCAGGCCTTTCCTGTGCTGAGGGCTCCAGCAGGTCACACTTCAGATGCACTTGGCTTTCTTCAAGTTAAAATATTCTTGCTTGGTTTAGGCACAGAAATGAAGGTGAATTCGAGTTTTGAAAGGTCACATAAATCCCCTTGCAGTTCTTTCAGATTAGTTTGTCCACAGCTCCATTCCATTTCTGACCTCATCTTACCGCACATTCCCAGTCTTGAGGAAATTATTAATTTTGTTCTCCTGTATTTCTCTTTGCAACATGAAATTCTCTTCCTTCCAACTTCTCACACCTCTGTCCCTTTCTGTAAACTGTAGAAATGTAAGACTGGGAAAGATCCTCAGCCATTAAGTCCGTGGGAAGGAAGGGAGTATTCCCACACTTCACTAAGCTTCTTTCAAGAATCCAAATTATGACTTCTCACTCCCAAGGAAAGATTCTTACCCTTACGTCTACAAATTTCTCCCAGAAATTTGTTCTTTGCAGCTTCTCCTCCAAAATGAACCAAGCTAAATCATAGTCATCCAGTAAATCAGAGCACTGCAGTATGTCTCATCTTCAGCAAGACTTCTACATCTGAAGTGAGACAACTATAGTTTTTTAAATACTCAGTGGTTTTTTTTCTTTCCTTGTAAATAAATTGAAAAAAGCTCAACTAAAATTAAAAAGTTCTCCAAGGAAAGTAAATTAATGCTTGCTTATCACTGTGAAACCGTAAACCATAAAAGACATTCTGTTAACGAGTCTTTTGATGACAAGTTTGCTAGAAAAAGGTTGGAACTAAAATCCAATATGGTGGTTAAAAACATCCAAGTTTTCTTGGCCTCAGGTTCAACATAACTTACAGGTATTTTTATATATTTAATGTCTCTCCCAGATAGTGAAATTTCTCTGAAACTGGATAACCTGTTCAAAAGCATTTATGGGTGTACCAGCAGACAGTGGTGGACATTCCAGCAGTGAATCTTTTTCTTTTGTTTTCCCCTTAAGAATCCAGATGTAAAAAGCCCAAACCAAACAAAACCCCCCAACAAACCCCCCAACTCCAAAAAAAGCCATAAATTACATACTGCCAGTAAGAACTGATTCCAGTAGACTGTAAGTCATATTTCTAAGCTAATGCATTAATCGGTATTTTCTGTAGCACCTGCTGGCTTAGCCAAGCAGTGCAATGTTATTTAGCTAAGAGGGAAAAGATACTAACAGCAGTCAGATTTGCAATGCTTGAGCTATTCAAATAGAAAACACCTCTACCCTACATTCCTTATTTCATTATAGAAGATGTGTATAGACCAGAAATTGCTGGTTTGTTTTTAATTCTGCTTTGTGAAGTGCTCTAGAAATTGCTGCTCCATTTCTTTGCCTCTTTAAATTAAGCCATTCACTGGTTGTATTTCTCAACTCCTATATATAAAGATATATAGCAAAAAACAAACAAACAAACAAACGAAAAGGTCTCTCGTATTCCGATGTATCTTTCTTTACTGGAGGTATTAGACTGTGTGTATATTTACATTTAGAGATATCTTGAGATTTATTTAATTTTGTTTTCTTTTCCAACATGTTAAAGAAAGAATAGTTTAAATTTGAGAGTATGAGGCAAAGATTATCAACTCTATGTAACTGTTACTCTTAAAATTTCCATTATGCCTTCAGAAAAAACAGTTCCTACCTACATCTGAATTTCACCTACGCAACTGTGGCGAACTCGACTTCTGTGCCTCACAGGTGAATTGTGAGTCCAGTTACAGTGAAGACTGGCATACTCAGCTACTATATTAATAGAGGCTTTATGAGTGTAATAAATCAATCTGTCAAATTTCTCCCATAGAAGCTTATGTCCTTGAAGGTTTGAAATACAGTTTTGTATACAGTCACAGAAGAAATCTCTCCTATGTGGCAGAAGTAATGATAGTATCCTCATGTAATCTAGCTAACAAGAGTTAAAGAGATTTAAAGCACTACATTATAGTTTAACAGATTATGTGTCTGACAGCATTTAGCTAAGACATCTGTAGCTGTCAAGTGTAATCACTGTAATGAATGCTCTTCTATAATCTAAGAGACAACTATTCAGCAAATTTTTAACATCTGGCTAGTCAGCATCTTTTCAACTAAAGAGGTCAAAACTTACCATTTTTAGTAAGAACTGTAATTCAAAAGACTTTTTTCCTACTTCTAACTTTGTGATACATATTCCTGCAATATTGTAACAGTAAAATTTGCAGTTTTCTTCAAGATCTGCAGGACATGTATTCATAATTATGTAAAAGTGCATTGAGATCGAACACAAATTCTTGGAGTTTCACTATGCCATGGAGTATCTTTAATTCATCAGCTAGCAGGAAAGGGCACTATTTCCCATTGTTACTTCCATTAATTCCGTGTTCCTATTATTACTTCTATTTAAAAATTTATTGTGTAGCCAAAACTAAAGGCACACGTAGGGTTCTAAGGAATCTAAAGCTTTACCTGTACTTCTGTGGGAAAGAACAATTCTTTTCACAAAAGTTGTACAATCAAACAATAGAATCATAGAATGGTTTGGGTTGGAAGAGACCTTTAAATGTCATCTAGCCCAACCCTCCCTGCAGTGAGCAAGAACATCTTAGGTAGACCAGGTTGCTCAGAGCCCCATCCAAACTGACCTTGAATGTTTCCAGGTATAAGGCATCTACCACATCTCTGGGCAACCTGGTCTGGTGTTTCACCACCCTCATCGTAAAAAATTTCTTCCTTATATCTAGTCTAAATCTACCCTCTTTGACTTTAAAACCATTACCCTTTGTCCTATCACTACAGGTCCTACCAAAAAGTCTGTCCCCATCATTTCTTGCAAGCTCCCTTTTAGTATTGAAAGGCCACAATAGGATCTATCTGGAGCCTTCTCTTCTCCAGGCTGAACAGCTCCAACTCTCTCAGCCTTCACAGAATCACAGAATGTTCGGGGTTGGAAGGGATCTCTGTGGGTCATCTAGTCCAATCCCCCTGCCAAAGCAGGGTCACCTA